TTCTGGAAATGCTGAACTCCACTGAGAAGAGCTGCAAAGAGGACAAGACCAGGATGTTTGCTTATCAGATGAGCGTTGAGTCTCTGCGAGTCACTTTGATGTCTGTTCTTGATGTAATCGACCTCCTTCATAAACAAGGGGTGCCGTACGTACTCACGGTTAAGTTGAATCAGGACCCACTGGAGGTACACCACTTTTTCTTTTGATTCAAAAATTCCACATTTCCAGAAATATACATTCATAGAGTTTCCACATCAGTAGAAGATATAAAGCAAGTCTTGTTTGTTTCTTTCAGCTTTTCTTTGGTGTTGTGCGAACATTTGGCGGTAACGAGGACCACCCCACCATTACTAACTTCAGCCAAGTCTTCCGCCTCCTCAGCTAGCATACGCCTCTCAAAATGGCCACAAAGGGAAACTGCACAGGTGAAGCCAATCCGGTCCTCATTTCTCTGGAGGAGACATTGAGCAACATGAAGATGTCAGCCTTGTTGGAGAAAGAAGCCAGAAATGAGAAACTTCAGAGTCTTGTTGCTTCGGTCAACCTTGAAGAATGTCCTGAAGGGGCACCTGAACACTCCTACAGCAGCGCCACACCCAAAGACGCTGTTTTGTACTACCTTGCTGGATATGTCGTGAAGAAAGCTTTGAAGTTTTCCGAATGTGTCGAGTGTAGGGCAACGATTACAGACACACAGAGCGTGCCTGCCGCGTCTGTTCTCACAGAAGCTAGATCATTTGTGCCTGGAGTCTTGAAGCACCCATCAAAATCGCTAACCGAGCTGCTGGGTGCCGTTGAGTCAGTTGTAGAGGCGGAAATCAAACACACAAAAGGTCTTCGGAAACTTGTTTTGGAAGATAGTTGACATCATCTCAGATTTGACACTTGCAAGGGTCGACTGTAATGTGCACTACGAGGAATTCACGGTTCGTATAGTGAAATTCTACTTGACAATGCGCATGCATTTCTACACTCGATTTCTTGCTGAGAGGAGCCAGGTCAGCGAAAACGTAAAAAATGCGAAGAAGAAGGCTTGCCTCTTGTCAACAGCTTTGAGCATTGTTGCCGTGATATCATTATGAGGTAGCCTTCATGGCAAGTAAGCTGATGCTCGCCTTCTGTGAATAGCTCTTGCTGGCTCGTAAATACTGTTGTAAAATAGCTTTTGTGCATTGTTACCATGAAATTGTTGCGGCGTAGCCTTTTTGGCTCCTAAGAGGCTGCCGCTCGCCTCCTGTAAATAGCTCTTGCAGTCTTGTAAATGCGGTTGTATATAGCTTTTTTTTATAGGTACCATGGTATTATGTGGCAGCCTGTGATCGTCTGCTTCTTTGCTCCCCGCTCTGCCTCATCCACCGCGCGAAGCTGTTGATGTTCGTGTCTTGTAAATAAAAAGCATCCACTGTTTTAGTACTCTAACTGACAGTGTTTGCTGCGTGCATTTATTACTAGGTTTAGCGGTTTAAACATGCAGCCGCCTCAGCAAGAAACGTAAATTCTATTATAGGAAGCGGCAGACAATGCAGTAAACGAATGCGGAGTTTCAGACACAAAACCGCGGCCTTGCAAGTTTGCCATGATTTCAAGCGCAAACACGGCCGGACGATGAATACAGAGTATACATCACAGGCGCCTGTCTTGTCTACTCTGTATTCATCGTCCGTGTATTTTGTTTGTTTTCAGCTCATGGCAACTATTCACCAACTAGCCCAGCAAGTTCTCGGCCTTGCAAATGCATGCGGCCACTTCGCAATCGTTGTCGCCGATAGAGCGCCGTAGCTTCGGTAACCTGTGTCTAGATTTACCGCTTACAAACGTAAATAGGGATTTATAATCATGGTAATCGGTATATCGCGATTTCCCTCGCAACGGCCGTAGCAGCTGCGGCAACCACCGCTTTTGTTCGTGCTTCTTCGCCAGCTGCAGGGAGCCGGTTGCGACGGCGGCGCCACCTGGCGCAGCAAGCAGCTTGGGCGCCGTGTTGTGGGTTAGGCGGAGGCGGAGAATTTTAAAACTGCCTTGTTCTATAAACGTTTCCCGGGGTGATGTTGCAATTTGCTGCAATCTAAAATGATTACGCGCGTCTACTTTAAAACTTGATAATGTAAATATATTTATTTTAACTTCTACAGTGCTATAATAATTGGTAAGATGTTTCACCGTATACAAGACATTGAAACAACACAAACATCTTGATGTCTCAATTTTGGCTTCAGAGTTTTTTTTTTCAGACAGTGTCATGGTGATGGCGAAGGATGTGGATGGATGGTAGAACTTTATTCATAGGATAACTACTTCTCCAGATTTATTATGATCCTTCGGAGAATGAGATATGACTAAACAGTGATTTAAACACTGGCATTTAAAGTAAAAATTTTGCTCGTTAGAAAACATCAGGAGGAATGTGAAAGCGAACCTTGGTAAGGCACAAATTAATCGTCATCGCTGTCAAACAAAATCTGTTGCAGTCTCCGTGGTTGCCATAGAGTTTCCCACAATACTAACTAGAGGAAACTCTGGCGCCAGTGTCTATGGGAGGTGCAACGCACGGCACTTCAACGAGCATGGGAATGATGGGTAGTCACGGAGGAAGGTTACTCCGTGTGAGTAGTACACACATTTGTCTAATTTTAGTACTTCTGGCTTGCTTCTGGCTCCGTGTGTGTTTGTGTGGCTTGGAGCTGTTTTTTCACGAAAACATCAATTAGCAAATGTTCACCGTTTGTGCTTCACAATATTATTCTTTTAAGCTTACTATTTTGAATCAAGTCCCTAAGTTCAAAAGGGTTCGTTTTTTCTTTCAAAACAAAACCGAAACACAGCAATAAACAAAGCCGCAAGTACGATTCGACGCCCGCAAGTACGAAGACTAGGATATTGTGTGAACTAGTACCACGGAGGAAGGAAACCTTTCCTTCCTCCGTGACTAGTACTACCCATGGGTTCCAAGTAGTACATCAATAGGCCCAGATGGCATTCCAAATATGCTGATGAAGACATTAGGTCCGAAGTCTAAGCAGGCTTTGAGAGAGGCAGTTAGCAAAATAATAATCGATGGCGAAGGCCCCGATGGATGGAAACTTAGCAGGATGAGCATGATTCATAAAGGAAAGGGGGACAAAGTTGACATAAACAACTACCTTCCTATAACAGTGACATCAGTGGTCTACAGGCTGGCAATGCAGATTATAAAGGAAAGACTGCAGACATGGATAGAGGATGAGGGGGTGCTGGGGGAACTGCAGAATGGGTTTCGGAAACACGGGAGGTTGGAAGACAATCTGTTCTCACTGACGCAGTGCATCGAAATAGCAGAAAAGGAACACAGGCCCCTGTGGCTAGCATTTTTGGATATCAAGGGAGCGTACGATAGCGTGGTTCAAGAGGAATTGTGGGGAATACTGGACACACTAGGCATGGAACATGTAGTCACTAATCTTTTAAAGGGTATCTATAAAGGTAACAAGGTAGTTATGAAGTCGGAAAAACAAGTATCCAAGCCTGCAGAGGTAAAACGGGGGCTTAGGCAGGGGTGCCCCCTGTCACCCTTATTATTCATGATGTACCTACAAGGATTAGAGGCAAAATTAGAGGGAAGTGGACTGGGCTTCAACCTCTCTTTAGTCAAACAAGGAAAACTTATTGATCAGGCACTACCAGCATTAATGTACGCAGATGATATAGTGCTAATGGCCAACAACAAGGAAGATTTGCAGAGATTGATGGACATCTGCGGTAATGAGGGAGATAGGTTAGATTTTAGATTCTGTAAGGAAAAATCAGCAGTCATAGTTTTCAATGACAACGAAGGTAGTGAGCTTAGAATACAGGAGGTCACGCTAGAGATAACAGATAAATACAAATATCTGGGCGTATGGATAAGCAATGGGACCGAGTATCTGGGGGAACACGAAATATACGTGACGACTAAAGGTAACAGGAATGCAGCAGTCATGAAAAATAGGGCATGGTGGAATTACAAGAGGTATGATGTTGTGAGAGGAATATGGAAAGGGGTCATGGTTCCTGGGCTGACGTTCGGCAATGCGGTCTTGTGCATGAGATCAGAAGTTCAAGCAAGATTAGAAATTAAGCAACGTGGAATAGGTAGGCTTGCTTTAGGAGCTCACGGGAATACACCAAATCAGGGAGTACAAGGTGATATGGGATGGACATCATTTGAGGGCAGGGAAGCTAGCAGCAAGATAAAATTCGAGAAGCGATTGAGAGAAATGGGGGAAGAGCGTTGGGGTAGGAAGGTATTCAGCAACTTGTACGTGAAGAATATCGATACCAAATAGAGGAAGCGAACCAGAAAATTGACGGGTAAATACTTAGAAAACAGCAGGGGGTAAAACCAAAAAGAACTATCGGTTAAGAAGAAAGTGAAGGAAACGGAGACTGACATGTGGAGAATGGGCATGATTAAGAAGTCCGCACTAGAGATCTATCGAACTTTTAAGCAGGAAATTGCCAAGGAAAGGATCTATGATAATACTCGGGGTAGTTCTCCACTGTTTGAGGCCAGGACGGGAGTACTGCGAACCAAGACATATCGGGCCAAATACGAAGGGGTAGACACAGTATGCAGTGCGTGTGGAGAGGAAGAAGAAACTGCCGAACACTTGATAATGTTCTGTAAAGGTCTTCACCCTATAGTTCAGGATGACGGCGCAGAGTTTTTCAAAGCACTGGGGTTTAGGGACCGGGAGGGTAAAATAAACTTTAAGCGGGTAGGCTTAACTAGAAGGAGGTTATCTGATTGGTGGCTAAAGTCAAGGCACTAGTGAAATTTAAACTCTTCACTGCAAAGTACGAATCCTCAAACTCACTTTTTAAAGAAAAAAAATAAATATAGTTTTTGGTTCATTAGGTATTACGGCTTAGTGGCGCTAGCCACCGCCCAATCTAAAGGATACAGCCTTATCCATCCATCCATTCATCCAGCCAGCCAGAGTGCCCTCTAGGTAATTTTGAAAAACTTTATGGTGGTTGCAGTCATCTCCATTGACATCGGCGTCAGTGTTTACATGTCGGTGTTTGTGAAGCGATTTGAGTCTACGTTCGCGCGTGTTCCTTGAGCATTTTCGCGGACATGCGTGGCCACCAGCGCCCCGTCAAGACTGCCGTCGACTGTGTCTGACACGGCGAAGCATCCTGTGATCGTCGCTGGTGTACGACAGTGCGTCGTTTGACCGGCCGGGCGATGTTCAGCGCAGAGGCGATTAAGGAAGAGATCGTGCAGACTACGGAGGCGCCGGAGATGGCGGTAGCCGCCGAAATCGAACCGCGAAAACTGAAAGCCATCGTAGCCGTGCTCAGCATAATGGTGAATGACTACGTGAGCAAACTGAGCACTCTTCTACAGCTGGTGCATCGACAACGCAAGCTGCTCCACGCTCTGGCTGCGATACGGCAAAAGAAAAGGGTGATTACTTTGGTTCCCGCGTTGCGTTGTTGAAGGCAGTTGGTTGTGCGTGCATGGACTTGAATCTAGAATTTAGTCACACTCTCGTCGCAGTGCGTGTAATGCGGAGCATATTCCAACTAACGTGGGGTCTTTTGTTTGTCGGCGGCACATGTTACAGACAAGGCAAAACTTTTTACTGCGCGAGAAGTTTTAAAAAGTTTGTGTGATAGGACAGGGCGCACCCTATGTGACCACGTTTGTTTCTTTCAGCTATTGTGCACGATAAGGAGGTTTTACTTGTCAGAAAAAACATACTCACTTGTGCTTGAAAGATGCGAGAGACGACTTTTGTGCTACGGCAGTTTCAGCCCTCTAGTTTGATGGTTCTGGCGCGTGCATTTTCGTGCTTCTGTGGTATGCAAGTCGCGGAACACGCTGTCTTCATTAAAGGGGTCGTGAAACGCTCGCTTTACAACAACAATGCGACACCATCGGCAGCCACATGCGCTAACTATATCATCAGCCCGAGTGGACCTGCATAGACGCTTTGCCTATCGAGGAACGCGGGACTCTATATGGCTTATTGAGCGCGCGGAAGAGGCGCTCATCGGAGTCTGCCATACGCGATCCGCGTCCCACAAGAACGCTTCTTAATATGACGTCAGAGTTCAAGGTAGGGCCGATTGCGTATGGCAAAGACGCTAATGGGTGTCCCGGTTTCACGTACTCGCAAGTACCGAACAGTTCCGCGTTCCTCGATAGGCAAAGCATTACTTATGATGACGTCACCTAGTTAGTGCGTGTGGACGCCGGTGGCTTCGCATTGTCGCTTTAGAGGGAGCGTTTCACGACCCCTATAAACGAATAAGTCCTGCCCTTTAAAACGGGACGCATTGTGGTCGTGCAGGAGAAACCGAGGTCGTTGCCCCGCGTGCCGGTCAACTGCTGCCCGGCCGTGCGCAACCTCCTGCTGGACTACCTGCACAACGAGACGCTGGCCTTCGAGCGCCACTTTCGTATCGGCCGTGGCACCTTCCGGCGCATCTTGTCCGTCTTCGCGCGGCCTCGGGTGTCGGGCTGGGCGCGCGAGCTCGAGCTGCTCATCTTCCTCCACTGGCTCGCCATGGGGACGTCGTACCGCGCCATCGTCAGTCAGTGGATGCCTTCACTTTGACCCTCTAGTCTCAAACTGTTCGTCTTTGGGACGTTAAACCCCACAATACAAATCAATCAATCTGTTCGTCTTAGCAGCTTGCTAAAGTGCAGGAAAAAGGCACACACCATCACGGAAATATTCAAGATGGGTATGTTTTGAATCCTTCCTTGATGGTACGCGTCTTTTTTTGTATTTCGGTAAGTATGTACCAACTATTCCAACAACTTCTACTTGTCCTACCAGTTTGAGGTGTAGACAAGTAGGTGTAGTGGTTTCTGCAGAGGGATACGAAAAAAAAAAACAACCTTGAATATGTTTAGACAGGGTGTAAGAATGAGCTTTTTTGGTGTCATCATCATCAGCCTGACTACGTCCACTGCAGGAGAAAGGCCTCTTCTATGTTCCGCCAGTTAACTCGGTCCTGTGCTTGCTGCTGCCAATTTATACCAGCAAACTTCTTAATCTCATCTGCCCGCCTTGCCTTCTGTCTCCCCCTAACCCGTTTGCCTTCTCTGGGAATCCAGTTAGTTCCCCTTAATGACCAGCGGTTATCCTGTCTACGCGCTACATGCCCGGCCCATGTCCATTTTCGCTTCTTAATTTCAACTATGATATCCTTAACCCCCGTTTGTTCCCTAATCCACTCTGCTCTCTTCTTGTCTCTTAAGGTTACACCTACCATTTTTCTTTCCATCGCTCGCTGTGTTGTCCTCAATTTAAGCTGAACCCTCTTTGTAAGTCTCCAGGTTTCTGCTCCGTAGCTAAGTACCGCCAAGATACAGCTGTTATATACCTCCCTCTTGAGGGATAGTGGCAATCTACCTGTCATAATTTGAGAGTGCTTGCCAAATGTGCTCCACCGCATTCTTATTCTTCTAGTTACTTCAATCTCGTGGTTCAGCTCCGCGGTTATTACATGCCCTAGGTAGACATAGTCTTTTATAACTTGAAGTGCACTATTACCTATCTCGAAGCACTGCTCTCTTCCGAGGTTGTTGTATATTACGTTCGTTTTCTGCAGATTAATATTAAGACCTACTTTTCTGCTCTCCTTGTCTAACTCCGTAATCATGAGTTGCAATTCGTCCCCTGAGTTACTAAGCAATGCAATGTCATCAGCAAAGTGCAGGTTACTAGGGTATTCTCCATGAACTCTTATCCCTAACTGTTCCCATTCGAGGCTTTTGAAAACCTCCTGTAAGCATGCGGTAAATAGCATTGGGGAGATTGTATCCCCCTGCCTTACACCTTTCTTGATTGGTATTTTTTTGCTTTCTTTATGAAGCACTATGGTAGCAGTTGATCCCCTGTAGATTTCTTCCAGGATGTTTATGTATGCTTCTTCGACGCTGTGATTCCGCAGTGTCTGCATGACTGCTAATATTTCTACTGAATCAAAAGCCCTCTCGTAATCAATGAAGGCTATGTATAGTGGTTGTCTACATTCTGAGCATTTCTCTAATACCTGATTGATAGTATTAATGTGGTCGATTGTTGAGTAGCCTGTTCGAAATTCTGCTTGCTCCTTTGGTTGATTGAATTCTAATGTTTTCTTTACTCTGTTAGCAATTGTCTTTGTAAATAGCTTGTATACTACAGAGAGCAAGCTGATCGGCCGGTAATTCTTCAAGTCTTTGTCATCTCTTTTCTTATGTATTAAGATGATGTTTGCATTCTTCCAAGACTGGTACTCTTCCTGTCAGGAGACACCTTGTAAACAGGGTGGCTAGTTTTTCTAACACAATCGGTCCTCCATCTTTCAGCAGACCTGATGTTACCTGATCTTCACCAGCAGCTTTGCCTCTTTGCATGCTCTCCAAGGCTTTTCCGACTTCTATCATTATTGGTGGGGTGTAATCTGGGTTACTGCTAGTTCTTATAGTATTAAGGTCGTGGTTGTCTCGGCTACTGTACAGATCACAAACTCCTCTGCTATTTTAACTATCCTATCCGTATTGGTTGTTATTTTGCCTTCTTTGTCCCTTAGTGCCTACACCCGATTTCTGCCCATCCCAAGTTTCCTCTTCACTTTTTTGTTTGGGGTAATACATCGTGAATATGTCAATATGTGTGGCACACGAAAGAGACACGGACTAACAAAGAAGACGTGCTGACTTCCAACAGAATCTTTTTCCAACAGAGACAGAATGATATGTGTTTGAATCGTGCACGCTGGTGACGGGAGAACTTGCTGGACCAACGAATCAAAATAGAGAGGTATAAGAATTGATGATGAATTAAACTCATACAAGTCAAACATCGTTGATTTCGCTATTGTAGGTTAATTGATAGGGAAGAAAGTAGGGATCAGAACTTTTATTTTAAAACTTCGTGTTGATGTCACTGATGTCATAGCATAGTTTACTTATTTCCACTACATTGACTCAATGAAATTTTCCGAAACTTGTCATGTAGTCAGTGAGCCCCCTAGAGAAAAATGCACTTCATATGTAACGATCAGTGACCACGTAGGATGGTCAGATCTGCATAGGTGCTGTTGAAAATCTATGATGTCGTGCCGTGTAGTGTGGGAATTTCTATTTCAAGCTTGTTCACTGATGCCTATCGCTATACGTCTGGAAAAGGAACCACGCTTGGTTTTTAGACTTCAAAATTCAAATAAAGTAGCTTTAGCTTGCCTGTTCTCTGTCAAAATTCACCAAAGTGCTCCTTGCAAGCTCGCAAAGCCCATGCTGTGGTCTGTTTTATGTCAGGCTATTGTCCCATTTCGGGGTGCACCCTCATTTAACTTGATAATTTTTTTTGCTTCTGCTCAGTTTGGGCACTCGCACGTATTACTTTGATGTTGGCATCCATGTCACATATACGTCAGAATGTTGTAGGCCCGTGTGCTCAAATTTGGGGGCACATTAAAGAACCCCAGGTAGTCCGAATTTCCGGAGCCCTCCACTAGGACGTCTCTCATAATCATATGGTGGTTTTGGGACATTATACCTCACATATCAATCAATATACGTCGAGAGAATATTGGCAGTGTTTAGGAGCGCATAACAGACAACATACTAGACTTTGAAGTGAGTGCTTGTTTGTCTAATCTGTCTCTTGTATCTTGTCTGTTATGCAATCTCATTTACCACTGTGGATCAATATAAGCTTTCCCAAATTTCTGGGGCTTTTGAAGAATATTACTGTGCTTCGAGATGAGAAAAAAAGAGAAAGGTCCCACCGAGGTGACCGAACCATGGATGCCTTCACGTATAATGAATTTAGTCCCTCCCTGCAATGTTCTCTGACATTGGGATTGCTGAACTTCCAACTTACGTTATCTGTCTATTACACGTGCCCATTGAGGCGTGCTTGTGCTTCTCTGTCTATGAGGAGAAAATGCTACCGACAGCTATAGTTGTGCCCTACTATGAAGATGCCTATATTTTCTGTGAAACAGCATCTTTCTTGGAACATGATTCTCTTTACTGTATATTCTTTTTAAATACAATGTAACTTATCTGGCTTTTTTCTAGTGTGTGTGTGTGTGTGTATATATTCAGGAAGTGCACCATGTGCAAACTCGCAAAAAAATTAAAAAGCTGGGAACATGTTTCTCAGTATTCTATGATTATATAACCTTGGTAGTTAGCTGTTTAAAAGAGTTATTGACAAATACTTAGGAAGTTGTGGAAACTTTATTACAAAGTACTCTTTCGTAAAAGTACGTACGACATTTATCAGTTAGAATGGTTATAAAATAGCTATGACATGTTTCACTTTCCCACTACAGCTCGCCTAAAAACCTCGAAGTGATTGTGATGTCGCGACAGAGAACAAATTCCGCTAACATTGTGTTGCCAGTACTAATTTTCTTTTCAAGCCTCCCACGTATGCAAGTGCTTTTAGCATTTTGCTGTATATGGCATGACAAATAGCACACTGTGGCCAACCGTTTATTGGTGGCAGCTGTGGAAAATGACGCCCTCTTGGTTTACGCAGACACCTTTGGAATACCGCGCTCAACGATTCATGGTGTGGTGTTCCGCTATGTCAACAACTTTGCCAACCAGCTGAGCATGCTGATCCAGCCACCTCAGACCGAGGCGAAGTTACGCGTCGTGACCGAGGGTTTTTCGACGCTGTGCTCCAGCGAAAGCTTCGGCGCTGCCGCGGGAGTGATTGACACTTGCCGCATCACGACGGCGCTGGGCGATACCTCCGTCCTTGTACAAGTGAGCGAGCCTGCCGCTACTGAGCATTCAAAGTGGAAATAGAGAGAAGATGGTCTTACGAAAAAAAAAACTGACCCTTAAAGAAACATGATGATAAAAATTATCCTTGCGAGTGCAGCAATCTGGATGGCTTGCTTAAGTGCATGGTTGCATATAAATAGTGAAGTGTAAAGGCTTATTGCGAGTTAAAAAAAGCTGTAGTGAATCTGTTGCATATTCTTTTTTTATTTTACTTTGCGCTGTTGACAAGCTCAAATATATTGGCAGCCTGGCTCTTGCTAAAATTCTACTCACAAATTACGTTATTTGAGGCTCCAAACCCTCTATGAACGAGGTAATTCTTACTTGTTTTGTTTCATTTTAGGTAACAGAAACTAGAACATTATACGGTGAGATCACAACAGAACAAGGTTCATGGGACAAGAGGGGCCTGTGTAAACATTTATTTGGAGCAAGATCTTCGTCTGGTGGTTTTTCACAGTACTGCACGAGAATTCAGTTTTGCGCAGTATTTGTACACCCGAGGACTTTTCTACCGCAGCAGTTTCATTCGTCGGAAGTAACTCTTCGTGGCTTCTCAGCCTCCTGGCCATGTCTGCACTGCTTATCGCTGGTTCGCTAATTTCAGCTCGTTATCTCTGCCGTCACTGCTGCTGTTATCCTCAAGCAATGCAACACAGGCCACAACATTGGAACCAAATTTTTCAATTTCACAGCCACATTAAGGAAAAAAAGTAGTTGTGAACTGTTGTTCAATACTTATTTTGCTTTCTATGCCAAGCATTGAGCCTCATGCAAACCAAATATATTTAATTACAGCTGGTATTGTGGCAGCTGCCCCATTTCCAGCTTTTGTTGTAAAAATAAACCTCACTGAAATGATATTCATCAAAATGTCAGTTTTTTAATAGACCTCACTGAAATAAAGCATGACGAACCTATATTTCTCTGAGTTCTCTATTACCAATCATAAGCTATCTTAGGGTTCATTATAATGAGCTTCAACCATATTTAACATAGCCTGGTGAGCTGTGCAGTGATTGCAACATTGTGACGTTAAAAATGTTACACAACTTTCCAGTTTTAGCCCTGGCTTTTGTGGAATGCTCTTCTCTCACGATTATTTTGTTGATTGACAAGTTGGCCCTGTTTATCACTCCCTTGCACGCTTCCTCGTTGCAGGCACTGTGTGATTCGCACGGCCACTTCCTGGACTTCTCGGTGGGATACCCAGCAACCATGGATCCGGCCGACGTCTTTCAGGCCAGCCCGCTCTATGAGAAGCCCAGCTATCCACCGCAGGTGAGCGGACAATTTGCACGGGCAGCAGCACCCAGTAAATTACTGCTCGCACCGTGTTGTCGCGTTAAAGGTGCCCCGAAACACTTTTTCAAGTAATCGTCGACTTACCTTGATAAATGTCAGACTTGATTGCCTCATGAAATGATTGCCCCAAAAGTTTCTCGAATCTATCAAGAACAAACAAAGTTACAGGGATTTTCCTCTCTCACTGTGGCGAGTACACTGGAAGCATAGAGTAAAAATATACGTACACTCAAACCTCGATATTGTCACTGGGTCGTGATGTGGCCGAAGACAGAAGACTTTATGTTGTGATCCAACTGCTTATTTGGGCGAACCTGTGCCCGGTAAACGGAAAGTCTGATTACAGTAGCAGTCTCGCACAGATAGCAATAAACGAAGCGTTGGCCGTCGATCAACTATTGACAAGCGGCGAAGTGCCTCGGCATTTATACTCTTGCCATCGAATGTTCTAGGGTTATCGCTAGCGGTGACGTAGGTTCCAGAATAATCTGTACAGTTCCCGGAGTGGGCGTGATCTTATCGAAATGATCTACTACAATCGTGAAGCTTTTTGAAAACTGCAGGCGCGGTTTGCGCTGAGAATTGTGTAGTGTATTGGGGGGATAACAAAACTTCAGGAATGGAACGTGGTGTTGCCCCCCTCTGAAAAAGGCATCATCCCGATGCTTTAACTAAAGATGAAGGTACAACAATAATGCAGGAAAGTACAATGAATAAATTACGATACAGCAATAATACAAAAAACACTGTTTCAGTTTGTTAACGCGCATGAAGCGGCTTGAGGCGCGCTACATGGATGATTTCAGGTGGCGATCGGCGTCGTTGAGAGTTCGTGATGCCGTCGGGGATAACCTCGTAATCAAGTGGGCGGAGACGTCGAACCACCCTGTACGGGCCAAAGTACCGTCGCAGAAGCTTTTCACTGAGTCCACGTCGGCGTATCGGTGTCCACACCCAAACACGTTCACCAGGCTGGTAATCCACGAAGCATCGTCGAAGATTGTAACGGTGGCTGTCGGTTGTCTGTTGATTCTTGATACGGAGACACACGAGTTGTGGGGCTTCTTCGGCGTGTTGAAGGTACTCACTCACATCAAGGTTTTCTTCGTCAGTGACGTTGAGTAACATGGCCTTGAGCATCGTTGCCGGGCTCCTTCCGTAGACCAATTTGTATGGAGATATCTGCGTCGTCTCCTGCACCGCCGTGTTGTATGCGAAGGTCACGTACGGAAGAATGGCGTCCCTCGTCTTGTGTTCGACATCAACGTACATTGCCAGCATGTCAGCGATCGTCTTGTTTAGCCGCTTGGTGAGGTCGTTGGTCAGTGGTTGGTACGCTGTCGTACGACGATGGTTTGTCTGGCTGTATGCCAAGATCGCTTGAGTTAGGTCAGCAGTAAATGTCATTCCTCTGTCGGTGATGAAGACCTCCGGGGCACCATGACGTAGGACAATATTTTTGACGAAGAACTTAGCTACCTCGGATGCACTGCCCTTGGGAAGGGCTTTTGTCTCGGCGTAGCGGGTGAGGTAGTCGGTAGCTAACACGATCCACTTGTTTCCGAAAGCCGACGTCGGGAACGGCCCCAGTAGGTTCATACCAATCTTCTGGAATGATCGGCGAGGTGGTTCAATTGGCTGCAGAAGTCTCGCTGGCCTTGTCGGCGGTGTCTTGCGTCGCTGACAGTCCCGGCATGTCCTCACATAACGAATGACGTCGGTGGTAAGACGTGGCCAGTAGTACCTTTCTTGTATCCTCGTAAGCATGCGGGAAACACCATGGTGCCCCGCCGTCGGATTGTCGTGCAGGGCCTGCAGAAGTTCTGGTCGCAGAGCTGAAGGCACCACAAGGAGGTACTTGGCTCGGAGCGGTGAGAAGTTTTTCTTTCGGAGAAGGCCGTTTCACAGGAAGAACGACGCAAATGCGCTCTTGAATACCTTCGGGACTTCAGCGGTCCTGCCTTCGAGGTATTCTATTAGGGCCTTAAGTTCCAGGTCGGCCCGCTGTCGTTCAGCGAAGCCGTCGGCAGTTATCGTTCCCAAGAAGTAGTCGTCATTCGAGTCGTCGGGCGGTGGTTGGTCGACAGGCGCACGAGAGAAACAGTCGGAGTGTTTCTTGTCGGGCTTGTAAATGACGGTAATGTCATATTCTTGAAGTCTCGGGCTCCATCGTGCGAGGCGACCTGAAGAGTCCTTCAATGTAGCTAGCCAACACTAGGCGTGGTGGTCGCTCACAACTTCGAAGGGCCTGCCCTAGAGGTAGGGGCGAAATTTCGACGTAGCCCAGATGATGGCGAGGCACTCTTTTTCTGTTGTGGAATAATCGGCTTCTGCTTTAGATACCGATCGGCTGGCGTAACGAATAACCCTTTCAAGTCCGTCAGCCCTCTGCACAAAAATGGCGCCGAGACCTACGCTGCTTGTGTCAGTGTGTATTTCTGTCTGGGCGAATTCGTCGAAATGGGCGAGTAACAGAGGCGCCTGGAGGCGATGTTTAAGCTCCTGGAAAGCGTGTTCCTGCGGCGTTGCCCACTTGAACTCCACGTCGGCCTTGGTAAGGTTAGTGAGTGGATCGGCGATGCGAGTGAAGTTTTTTCACGAACCGCCTATAATAGGCGCGCAGGCCCAGAAACAGGCGCACCGCCTTCTTTTCAGTGGGCAGCGGGAAGTCGGCGATGGCGGCTGTTTTCCGTGGATCGGGACGAACTCCAGACTTTGCTAATCACGTGCCCCACAAACAAGAGCTCCTCGTGCCCAAATCTGCACTTTTCTGGCTTCACTGTGAGTCCAGACATCTTGATGGCTTGAAGTACAGCTTCAAGGCACCGAAGATCGATGCTCATCGAAACTCGAGGAAAACACGACGACGTCATCCAAGTACACAAGGCAAGTCTGCCACTTCAATTCTGCCAGTACTGTATCCATAATGCGTTGAAAAGTTGCAGGCGCTGAGCAAAGACCGAAGGGCATCACCTTAAGCTCGAAGAGGCCGTCCGGTGTTATAAACGCCGTTTTCTCTCGATCTCTTTCGTCGACTTCGATTTGCCAATAGCCAGTCTTGAGGTCCATTGATGAAAAGTACTTGGCGTTATGGAGCCGATCCACTGCGTCGTCTATTCGTGGGAGAGGATACACGTCCTTCTTTGTGATTTTGTTCAGGCGGCGATAATCGTCGCAGAAACGTGGGGTCCCGTCCTTTTTCTTCAGTAACACCACGGGGGACGCCCATGGACTCTTGAATGGCAGGATGATGTCATCCCGCAGCATTTCATCAAGTTGTCTCTTCATGGCCTCGCGTTCTCGCATCGAAACCTTGTACGTACTCTGACGGAGTGGTCTGGCATTTTCTTCGGTTATGATGCGATGGTTCGTGATTGGGGTCTGTCGAATCTTCGATGACGACGAAAAGCAATCTTTGTATTGCAGGAGCAGGGCCTTGAGCTGTTCTTGCTTATGGCTCGGATGGTATGGAGTCTGGGATTGACGTCGAAAGCTGTGGGTGGGGCTTGGTTCCTCTGAGCAGGTTGTGCAGAATCGGCAAGGGCGAAAGCACTGGTGGCTTCCACAATTTCTTCGATGTATGCGGCCGTCGTTCTTTTGTTCACATGTTTGTACTAATTGCTGAAATTCGTGAGCATAACCGTTGCTTTGCCTCCCCGCAGCTCTGCAATTCCTCTTGCGACGCAAATATGTTGAGTGACCAACAGATGCTGACTGCCCTCAACGATGCCTTCCAAGTCAGGTGATTTAGGAGCGCCTACTGAAATAATGACGCTAGAGCGAGGTGGAATGGTGACTTGTTCATCCAGGACATTCAAGGCATGGTTTCCTGACGGCATGCGCGGCGGTAGTGCTTCTTCTGTGGATAACGTTATCGACTTTGTTCTTAGGTCGGCTGCCCGACTGCCCCCGAAGACTGCCCCCGAAGAGAAACTTCGGGGGCAGTCGAGGTTTCCTGGAAGAAAAACTTCGGGGGCACCGGAACGACAACAACGCTGGACTTTGAGTGAGTGATTCTCGGAAGAGTATCATCCAGACTTTTGTTCCAAGAACTTTGGACTGAACAGGTTTTCTATCTCTTTAGTCTTTAAGTGTCTTGGTTGTTCAATGCATGCGACTGCATTGTAGTGCATATTGTTGTCTGTGTCCGTTGTTTCGAGTGTGGCCGATTGTACTGTGTAGTACGTTGTTTGATTGGTGACATATTGTACTCAACTATTGTGGAGTGTGCATACTTGTCTATTGTTTTGATCTGCCATTATTGAGAATATAATTTTGTTTTGTTTATCAACTCTCGGCTCTGACTTGTTCTTTGGGCCACAGCTGGCGTCCGCTGGCGCGCCAAATAGGACCACTTCTAAATTGTCCACGCTTTTGTGGTGCGGTTCGGGGGGCCGATACTTCAGCCCTTGGAATTAGCTCGGCGATCGCCTCCATAATTAACGGGACCAGTGACAATTAATCTGCCGTCCGCGACAGGACCTTTTGGTTCACAGTGTGTCCAAAGTAGTGAGAAAGAGCCTCGAGTTGTGTATACTGCTATCGGAACGATTTTGTGTGTTGCTCAGTGTTCTCGTTAACGAGTGCAGGAGAGTGTTCCGATAGACTGATTTAGGCAGATACTTTTTACACGTGGCAAGACTTTATTTGCGAGACACCATGGATCTCGAAAAGTTAGTAGCTCTTGGTGAGAAGATGGGTCTTTCTGGCGCCGAGCTACGGAAGTGGGTAAGCTAGAAGGAGAAAGAGGCGGTGGAGAGAGAAAAGCTGGCCGCTGAGAGGGTGAGAGAAGAAAGAGAGGCAAAGGAGCGACAGCTGAAAGAAGAAAGAGAGGAAAGGGAACGGCAGCGACAGCACAAGATGGAACTCGAGCGGCTCCAATTGCAACAGTGAAGTGAAACTCCGGTCCAAGCTAGAGTTGAAAGCAGCGAACGGGAGGACCTTGGCTTCCGCTTGTACCCAAGCAAGCTGCTCGT